AAGGTACTACCCTTTAATACAAAAAGTCTTAAAGTCTTAAAAATGTACAATTTTTTTATGCATTTTCAATTTAAGTTACTATCCTTTAATGCTTACCTTCACACATCCTGTTTAGAGCTGCCTCTAAACCCTAAACCACTCCAAACGACATCGCACGCTCTCCCCTCCCAAGGCAACTCTGCCCAACGACCGGCTCTCTCTATCGCACGCTCTCCACAGGCGATTACAGTCATGCCGATTCAGTCTCCAAGGATCGCTCTATCGCACGCTCTCATGATTCAGTCTTAAATGATCGGGGGTAAGAGGATCGGTGAGCAGAGTAATTTCGAGAAACTTGATTGGTTTGCAGGAGAACTTGTATTGGGGCTTCAGAGAAGGAGTTGCAGGATAGCTCCCACTGTTGCCTTTAAGCAAGCTACACCCAAACCCATATGAACAAATTCTTCATCAAGGTATGTTACCATTTACAAGGTTATTACTTCCATCCACTGTTGTTTATAATATTTTTAGGCCATGCTTGGCTTGTTATAAGCTTGATCTTAGCAGTCACAACCCCAAATTACCTGTTTGGAAATCAAAATGTGCATATGAATAACATATAATCCCTTCCCTTTTGTCCATTTCATTTATGTTTCAACTAAATGTGCATATAACCCCCTTCACTTTTGTCCTGCTGTTTTGTTTCTACTATTTTGTGCACCTTTTGCCAAAGCAGCAACTCCATTTCATCTTACACACACACTGTTTGGGGCAGTTTGGGACTGCTGTCTGGTTATGGACTTACAAACCAGATTGCTAAGTCCATCTAAGTCAAATATGTGTCCAGGACTGACCTGATTTAGTGGTTGAAACTTGATTTATAACAACTTTGATGCTATACAGGTTGAAGTATATAACTTAGCTTCTAATTCTACAATGTTCACATCGTACAATGATTTCCATTTGTATCCATAAATTGATTTTTTGAATAATTTTCCCTAAATGTCCAATAAAACTTGATCAAATCACCATGTCATCAAAATGTTGATACATGGTTTTCTTTTCTAGATTTTGATTGTATAAACATTGAATATGACTATTGCATTGAATATCAAACATGTGACAATTTTTTAACTTTGGTCATGCTATTTATATAGATTTTTGAGGTGAGTCTATTTAGGTCATGCGAGGAAGTTGGGTTGCTACTATTACTAGGCCTACATTCATTATATACTTGAAATCTAATTGTACAGATAACTTAGTGGTTGTTTTTTCTTTTGCTTTTCGTCTATCATGTTTTTTGTTGTACAAATCCTAAGAAGTCGGTGCCAAGGGGCAACAGGTAAGTATCCTGATCCACCATTGATGGTGACAATGGGCAGCAGGTAAGTATCATGATCCACCGTGATGGTGACAATGGGCAGCGGGTAAGTATCCTGATCCACCGTGATGATGACAATGGGCAGCAGGTAAGTATCCTGATCCACCGTGATGATGACAATGGGCAGCAGGTAAGTATCCTGATCCACCGTGATGATGACAATGGGCAGCAGGTAGTCAATGACAATCTGGGTAGAAGGTTTGTTTAGCTGTATTGTTAGTTAAAAGATAGACCTTTATTAATCGTTCTTCCTGGGCACTTTATAGGTAGATATTATTGTGAATCAAAAAGTATTCCCTGTGTAATTGAATGTAAAGGGGTTACGTCCCTTTATTTAAGTGTAAGATTTAGAACCAAAACACAATATATCTGGAACCAAATTAATGATTAAGGCTCTTGGTTTAATAGAAAGGCATATGCTTGATCGGTCTCAACAGAAATTGCTAATTTAGAAACAGGAAACAAGTGCTTGCAATCTTATAATGCATTTGATTTTTGTTTCATGACATTTATTAGACGTTGTTATGTTTCAATTGCAGGTGCTTTAAGTAATACCAGACGACCAGAAAAAACAAGTGTATCAACCCGGTTTGCAAGGTAAAAATGTCTATTGAATGTTCATTTCACTGTTTGTTTTGACTCTTTGGTGTTATTCGGTTAAAATTAACATTGAAAGCTTCTATTTAAATTACTGGTAATTGTAAACACTTCCATTTAAATTGCCACTTAGAACTTTAGTCCATTAAAAACGACATTGTATGGAACATTTTTATCCGATAGGTACTTGTTTGGTAAGAGTCGTTACTCTCACCGGGTAATACTCTCAGTCCTTGTTATCGCTCTTACTGGGTAAGATTATGAATCATTGTCATGTTAGTTCGATAAGGTAAAGTGACCCAGTAAGCACTTACCGGGTAAACATTTAGTATACAGCCTCTTACTCTAGCTATTAGGTTAGGGACTTGCTAACCAAACCAAAATTTTACGGGTAAGGGAAGTAGTTTATAGACACATATCATAACTGGATATGCATAACTGGTATGGAGTTTTGAAGTTTTTAGTATGCATAACTGGTAATTTTAACTCCATACCTTTTGTTAATGAAAGTTCAAAAGCCTTGTACCTTGACTAATAATTAATAAATAACAGCTTTGGTATAATGCCATCAACAACAGACTGTTCTGTTACATATCGACAATTCTTGTACGATCACCTGCCCATTAATAGTGTGCATTTTTTACGACAATCAAAAGGATTTCCTGTGTACCAATCTCCTTGGCTTTATGAGGGTTGAGAAGAGGAATCTTTGCACCCTACACTTCCTTTACATTTTAGAAGGTTGTTTATATTGATCTTGATTCTTTAAACTTAGATGCTGGTGGGAAGGGTTATGCTTGTTTTCTTTGTTGATAAGTACTAGGAAGCTTCTGACTGATGATGATGGTCTTTTGTATGCTGTGTAGCATTCTCCTGATCCATTTGGTGAAACTATCCTGGCCACAACCTTCTATTGCTCCCATTCACCTCTTAAAGTTGTGGTCAAATAGAGAGGTTGCATATTGATTTAGGAAACAATGTGTTATTGGGTCTGTATTGTTATAACTTTCTTTGCCCCTGTTTTGACCATTCTTTGATATCTAAAATTTTCTCGTGTGTAAGATTTCATGATTAGTTTGCGTCTTGTATGTAGGTTTTGTTGATACCAAAGAACGTGGTTCAAATATCTAGATTATCGTTCCGGTTTTTCTATATTTTTTATGATTCTTTTGTTTAGCATTATGGATTTTCCTTGTTGCCTTGGGCTCATCTATGTTTCCCTTGCTATATGATGCACATTATGTAGGTCTTCTTTGGTGGACATGGTCACCCGTTAAGATGGTTTGTCGTAGAGTGCATGTGTCGGTTCTTGAAGATGTTTTGGTCTATCTGTTTTTATGGATTCTACCATCCTCTCATTTTATCTCATTTTGTCCTTGGGTGTTTTTGGTACTTCTATATCGTTTTTCTTCTTGGGTAAATCAGATGTGGAAGGGTAGTTGTTTTTCTATAGGTTTTGATCTAAGTAAAGAAGATAGCTAACGAATCGTTGGCACTTGTACTTTCCTCCTTGACTCTATTCTTTTAATCTCTCATTTCTGAATTGCCATTGTTTGTAAGCTTGGATGATGAGATTGTGCTTTGTCTGTAGGTTCGTTTGGTGCCAAACACGGTGGTTCAATTATTGCAGTCATGATGTGTGCTGGTTCTATATAATCCTTGTGATCGCATTTTGATTTCTACATCTTCCATCATCTTAAAGACCTCTTTTGCTTATTTGCAAATAGGTCAACAAAAGCGCATTCAGGTCAACTGGACCATTGTCTTGTTACACTAATCCATCTTGAATTATATCTATACTATCTTATAAACCGAATTTAAGAAAAGTCTTAAAAACAGTTACTAAAGTTGGGATGCTACTTACATACAAGCTCGGTACTGGTTTGGTCATGGCTCGAAGGGCAGATGGTTCATGGTCTGCACCTTCTGCTATAATTTCAGCTGGTCTAGGATGGGGTCCTCAGGTATAACTACCAAGTGCATTGTCTTTATCGATAATGTTGTTCGCCTTTTTCTTTGGGATAATTTTGCTTATATAATAATGTCCTTGTAATATGGTCTGTGGGAACAAATAGGAGTTTCCACAATGTGTAGCTGTTGGGAATCAAGAACAATTATATATGTAGTGCCATTTCATTGATTGATTAAGTTTTATAGTTGTTATTGACTAAATAGAATTTGATGTACATTCTGTTTCAATAATTAGTGATGGGATCATAAATGGCTATCTTATGTTTTAATAACCTCTCAAGTCCCACTCCCATCTTGCATAAACAATGCTAAAACAACCTTGAACAATGCTAAAACAACCTTGGATTTTGTGGAATGCAGAAGGGAATTTGTAGACTCCTTGGATAGTTTGGTATGGATGCTTTCACGGTGGCTGTTAAAGTGGAGATTGAACTATGGTGCAGTTGATCTAGAGGCGGTAGGTATTGATTTTTGGTCATTTTGATTAATTAGGATATTGGTTTCTATTTCGATTTGTATAAGATAATTTATTTGTTTTTGAAATGTATTCACTAGAAATTTGTTTCTTCCTTTATTATAATTATTTAGAGAACATAATTGATTTTCATGCGTGTGTACAATAAAGTTCACTTCGATTTCTTACTTGTTACATTGTACTTGATTACATCCCGTTGCATCGGATGGGTACTCAACTAATAGGAATCGAGGTTTAAATATTTCTAAGGGTTCTCTTAAAAGATCGAATGTTTAAATATAACTTTTGTACTTTTTAAAGAATAATTGCACTAATTTTTAGTTGTAAATTTATTAGAAAATTTGACATTACGTGGACACACAACTAGTATATATATATATATGATATTTTACAAAATAAAAAAATATTTAATAATGAATTTTTTTTGAAAATATTTGACGAGATTATTATAACGGTATAAAAATGTAAAATAAAAAAGTTAGGAATATAAACAAATTAATTAGTATGTATTTATTATAATAATATATAACTATTTATGTTAATATAACAATGGTTATAATGTGTTTTGAAAGTGTGATCCAATTAGGAATAAACAATGATCGAGAAGCGAAACGTATATAAATAAACCCTAGAAAACACAGGGATCTCCGCCCACCAATTTCACTCTTCTTCTGCTTATGCTCTTTCCGGTGAGTGATTTCCTGTAACTTGCTCCTGCTTCGTACTAACTACTAATCTAAAGCTTTCAATTTCTTTGTTGTTTTTTTCCATCCAGAATCACACAATGTCGGGTTACGTATGGGAAGAGTTGATCGATAACATCTTCAAAACACTACCACCGAAATCCCTTCTCCGATTTAGATGTCTTTCCAAATCATGGTGTTCTCGTATCGGTAGCCCCGATTTCATCCGTACGCATGCTCTTCGATTTGACAAAAACTTGCAAAAAGTCCTTGTTAAGCACTGGACTTATGACAAAAGACGTGGTATGGAAGAATTCTTTACGTTACATCCTGAAAACCGATTACCCTTGAGTCATAGACACGGATACACAGGGATAGGTAAGTTTCCTTGCAATGATTGCTGTATTGTTGGCTCATGTAATGGACTTCTATGTCTATTTCATCATGAAATTGGTACGATTGCTCTATGGAACCCTTCCATCAGGCACCAACTAACCTTGCCTCCTCATCCTTACACGAGGAACTACTCTCCTCAATCCCCTCGTGTAGCACTCGGGTTTGGTTTCGACCCGGTCACTGATGATTACAAGATTGTGAGGATATCCTACTACACATTCAAAAGAGTTGAACCAACATCAATGGTTTACACCATAAACACAGGCACCTGGCGTGTCATTGCCTCCCCTACTACTCGACTTTCTAATGTGCAGTGTTCTGCCTGTTTTGTMAATGGAGCATTGCATTGGATCGTAACAGAACAAGATAACAAAGACCATTGTTATATAATGTCATTCGGTTTGAGCACAGAAGTTTTTGGGAGGGTTCTATTACCAGAACCCGGTTCGGAAGCCAGAGAACTAACAACCATCAAAGATTCTTTAGCTGTGATTACGGGTGAATGTCATAATCCTAGGATATGGGTGATGAGAGAGGACAATAATGTTGCTTCTTGGTCTATGTTTTTTAATTTGGAAGCTCTTCCTGGTGAAGGAGGAATACACAGAGTTTTACTATTGACCACCAATAGGGATCTCGTGTTCCTCATTTACTGTGAGGGGTATAAAGTTTATAATCCAGCGACAGGCGTCCTATCAAGGCTTGTGAAATTCAACGCAGGTTCTTACCAACTCGAAGTTGAAACATATGCGGAAAGCCTTGTATTGTTGAACAAAGGGACTGCTTGCAATGGAAACCAACCACCTTGGCTGCAATCAAAAAAGAGAAAGCAGAACTTCGGGGTAAGTAGCTTATGGCACTAAATTATGTAAGAGTATTAGATCAGTTTTCCCATTTGAGTTATCAAAAAGTGATAAACTTGTTTACTTAACATGTCTGAGTATGCTGCGTTATATTCATTTGAAGAAAGACGGGGTTAAATTTTATTAGTTCTTTTGAGCAAACAGTAGGCACAAGGTACAGCAAACAATCCCCCTTGGTTGGAATTTGACATATTTTCTCTCTTTTTCTAGGTAATATATATATATATATATATATATATATATATATATATATAACATACATATTTTGTCTTGTGGGACTGCTTGCTGGACTTTTTGCGGATTCATCTTAAACTGCTAGTTGTTGTGTGCATATGGCTGATTTAGTCTCAAAAGGCTTCTCCAGCATTTGAATATGACTTTGAAAAAGTGAATCAAACGTATGCGTGTGCAAATTTTAGTCAGTTGTTGGCTATACAATGTCGTGTAAGCATTTCATCAAACACGTAGTAGAAGAATCTTGACGTGAGTATGTGATAAATATAGGCCCAAATACGCATCAGTCAAGGAAGAAACAAAATGAAAGAAAATATAACAAACAACAAATAAATGGACTGCCCAAATGCATATTGTGTATGACAAAAGCCTGGATACTTTCTTGCTCACAAATCACATCCAAATCATGTCTATATGTTACTGTTAACCAGTTTATGCTTACCCAAGCAATGAAGAAACAAATGTCGTGTAATTATAGTGGCGTGTAAGGCTTGAGGCTTGACCTCATCCAAGAGGCGGTCTTGTTGGTGTGTGGGTTAGTTCCTTACTTTTTATATGTGAGATCCCATGTTAAAGTCTTTTAGTAAAGGTCATAATTGTAGGATTTGGGTGGTAAAATAATCTTTCATCTTAGGTCTATGGTTCTTACACTTGTAGCTCTTCCGAGCACTACAAATAGTTTTCCTACTTACGACTCATGGTGATATCATGATCAACACCGAGTGTGAGGGGTATAAAGTTTATAATCCAACAATGCCCGTATCTCTTCTCTCTTCTACCAGATTTTCCAATCTGACAATTCCTAATTACAACTGCCTATTTGTAATCCCTTCTCCCTCGATCTCTAATTTGAATATTGAATTCTCCTAGTCGGTTGGCCTCTTACATCTTTGGTTTGCCATTGGTTAATTTTAGGATTGATGCACCAAGCACGACCCTGTTTAATAAACTTACTCTTTCTTGCCCTCTATTTCTTTCTTTCTTGTTCGATGATCAACCTCACCCGCGTTTGCATTGACTTCTTTCATCTTGATGATCCTCATTGTTCATAGCACAATAACCCTTTGATTACCCACATAAAAGTCTAGAGTTGAGGGAGAATTTGGCCGTAGGATCGAGCCAACGTTTCTTGGGAACTTGAGATAAACAACAATTGGTCAACTTTTGTATGCTAATCTTTCAATTTAACGAGTTAATATGGAAAGTTGATTATGAATAACTCATTAAAAAGTTTGTTTCGAACAATGTTAAAAGAATGATTCTATTTAAGTGAATTTTATAAGTTAGTTTGTCATTTTAAGATATTTTTGTTGTTTTAATTTATAAGTCTTTTAATATAATATATGATATTTATGTTTATATTTTGTCTTGGTATGAGTATAGCAGGGTCTCCAAAAAGATTAATAGAACGACCATGTTCTACTACACTACTAAACATGGAGATTTTCCGGCGAAAAATCCGTCGGAAATCCACCGGAAAACATGGTTTCTGTTGGATTTTTGGCGGATATTCCGACCAGTAAAACCTTCTCCAGAAAAAATTATTTCGATGATCCTCCGATGGATTAAACGTCAACTTCGTCGGAAATCCGCCACTGATTTTTTTTAATATTTTCAGCTTTGTCGATTTAATTAATTAAATTAATTATTAGGATTAAATTACTAGCCGATTATCCGCCAATAATTAATTCGTCAGTAATTTACTTACTTAGGGGCCATTTACCAAACACTTACCCGGTAAGTGCTTACCGGTAAAATTTAACAATATTATTTACTTCTCAGGTAAGATTTTAGTCCATCAAAACGACATCCTATGCAACAATTTACCCGGTAAGCGCTTACCGTAGTAAGAGTCGTCGCCCTTACTTACCTACCAGGTAAGACTTATGTTTTTTGTCTCGCTCTTACCGGGTAAGATTTTTGGTCTCTACGATATTCATCCGATGAGGTAATGTTACTTGATAAGCGCTTACTCGGATAAACATTTGGTAAACAACCCCTTAAATAATATATTATCTAGTGACACATTTAAAAAAAATTACCGACGGATTAATCCGTCGGTAATTGCACAGTTCTAGGAAAAAATTATTGTTTTTGATTATTTAAATCTTGTAAATATTAAAAATGCTAAAATTGTAAATCAAATATCACACATTGATTAAAACCAATACGATTGTTCGGGTGTAATAAATACAAATTGTTCCAACGAAAATTAGATTCAGTTCGTTGACAAGTTTTATATATAAAAAACCAAAAAAACATAACTTTGGCGGTGGTGGTGACGGGAATTTCTAGTTGCTGAGATTGAGTAAACTTCCTCACCATCTCCATCATCTCATCGGCCATCATACTATGTATTCCGGATCTCGTCTTGAAGAAGCAATTCTTGAACTTGGGTTTGTAATTTGTTAATTTACAAATACAAGAAACGTTAGAATCTATAATAAGAATATTCTGCCACAAATCCGTCGGAAATAATTTTTAAAATTTATTTTTAATTACTATTATTATTATAAAGCCCAATCCCATTAAAGCCCAATAAAATAAAATAAAGCTCAATAAAATCGATTAAACTCCAATAATAATCCATTAAAGCTCAATAATACCGAATAAAGCCTAACAGAAACCATTATAGCCCAATAACACTCTAAATGATTGTAATAGTTTGGTTATTATTTCAAGTATGTATATATATGTATATATTTATTTATAAATATATATATATATATATATATATATATATATGAATGATATATGTATGTATGATATGTGTGTGTGGGAAATATTTAAAATTTAAAAGGGGAGGTCGGCTTTTGGAGACCGCCTATCACCTCTCCCTTTTATGTGCATATATAAATAGAAGTTATGAAAGAAAAATAGATTCATACACATACTATTTCTGGAAAGTGTTTTCTCTCTGAGAAATTGAAGAATTCGCACAAGAAGAAGAAGAAGGTTTCAAAAGGGTTTGATTCTCAAAGGTGAGTGTATTAAAAGCTTTGAATATGAATTGTTTTCATACAAATTGCAAACCATTTAATCTGTTATTATGAGTTTGGATGCATTTTATGATGATTCTTGTGTAAACCGGCCAAGTGGTGTCCGGATTGTAATCCGGATACTTAAACCGGATGTGCTTTGTCCGGATATCTATTAAACCGGACAAGAAGTGAACGGATTATGTTTTAAACCGGGCAAGAGGTGACCGGATAATGTGTAAACCATTTAAAGAATCAAGTGATGTATTGACCAGATTGCTAAACCGGTCAAGAGTTGTACGGTGTGTTGACCGGTTTATATTAAACCGCTCAAAGGATAAAATGTGTATTGATCGGTTT